TCTAAGTTTTTAATTAGTTGGAAAACATAGGTGTGATATTTTATAGAAAGAAATCACTGCCCCTGTATTTAATTAAATGAACCCTATAAAAGTTGGATTTTAGCCAGGGGCATAATTTATAGTGGGCTGAATTTAAAACTGCATTAGCCCTGTAGGCTGGGGTTGTTGGGACTTGTAATAAAAACAGAGGTGACTGGGCACTGCAAACCTCAGACAGGAAAGGTCTCCCCATAACTAGATATGCATTTTATAATTTGAGGAGGGCTTGGTGTCTTTTCCAAATGCTACATTTAAAATATCCTGAACCGCTTACGGCGAAGGGGCAGGAGACTTGGAGAGCTGCCCGAGCGGCTTGTTTGGAAAAGTGACAGTGAATGGCAGTGGTTTGCCAGTGGTGTTTATAGACAGTGGAAACCAAGCCTCTCTCTGCGGGGAAGCAGGGGTCCAGTAAGTGGAGGCTCCAAGACAGCAGTCGGGCCTCCCTGGCCAAATCCAACCCCTTGCAAGGTGCCTTGGTGAAACGCCACCCATGATGCCATGTGGAAACATTTCTTACCTGGCTCCCTGGCGCTGTGGCCTCACATTTCCGCCCAGAAATTCCTCCAGTGCCCCACCCTCATCTGCCAAGAGAGGAGCTGGTCTTACCAAACAGCCTTGGGAAATGCAGACTGAAAGAGAGAGTGGTGGGCTGGCAGTGAAGTTTATCACCCATCAGAGAGCTCTGCCTCAGTGTTCAGGGCTGACCACAGGAGAGACAGGGCCACTGCCTCCCCCAAAGAGCAGGGGTGATGCCAGCCCCAGGGACGGTGGAATCAGGGAGGCGCCATCCCTTGCCCTCGGTGTGGCTGTCTGGTGGCAGGAGAACCCTGAAGGGCCTCTTTAGGGTTCCTTACTGTCCTGTCGCGTCTGCAGCAAGCGATCATTGCCTTGAGACTAACTGATTGGATTTTCCCCCTAATTGCACCCAAGTCCTAGGGGACCAGCCAGAGCCTTAGGTGAGTAACTTAAGCGTTTAATTCATAATAAAGACAAAGTTTGCAATCAGCATTTCTGGTTCCAAAACATTCCATGTACTTGGTTTTAGAGCTGCATAAACTGTCTGAAAAGCAATCTGCTCAATTGGGCGAGTTAATGATATTTAATGTGACCGGGCCAAACGTCATTGGAGGAGCCCGGCTCCAGTCTCAGCCATCATCAGCGCCGTTCTGGGTAATGTGGCTGCGATGCTAATCCCCGGAATAAAGTTTGTCACTCTCGGGTGGATGCCTGCGGGGCACCACGATCATCGCCCCGCGCCGTCTCTCGGTGGTGTGACTCCTAAATGACAGTGCAATAAGCGTTGTGTGCACGAGGTAATTCAAAACAAATTTGGCTGCAGAAACAGATCGTCTAGGATGGTAAACTCCCGCCTTGTCTCATCGTCTTTTAAGAGAGTGTAATGATCCCTAAAATACCTTGTCAAGAAGCTTGCGTGGCATGGGGTCAAGTCCCATAAAATGTTTCTGTTGTACCCACCACTCTCGCCCTGAGAAACGCACCACAATGATGGGAAATATTTATGTGCATATTGGTGGCCAGGCAAGTGAGAAGTGCAGCAGGCTTCCTGAGAAATAAAGAAGCCTTCCAGTAGGCAAGCGTCTCGCAAGACCACTGTCCTGGGCTGAATTTTGCTGCTTTTGTAAAGACTGATTGATTGATTGGTGATTGATCTGATTTGCAAAGCAAGCCATGGGGGTTGGGGGAGGAGGGAGATCTTTCATCCACTTATTCACTCCCCAAGGACCAGGAGCCAGGAACTCCATCTGGGTCTCCCAGGTGGATGACAGAAGCCCAAGCACTTCTGCCATCCTCTGCTGCCTTCCTAGGTGTGTCAGTAGAGAAGTGGATCAGATGCAGAGCAGCCAGGACTCCAACCCGCCAAGTTCCAGGGTTCTCTTTAGGGTTGGCACCACCTTCTCTTCAGCCAGCTGGGCACCAGGGACGCACCAGCACTGTTTAACAGTACCCAAAGTCACACAGGTGCAGAGGCACTTGAGCCACTGGGACCCAGGGAGCTCTTTGTCCTCTGGGAATCCACCCAGCACAGACTAATCTAAGCAGGTCCTTTGTGCACGGATTTTGGCATCCCATGAAGTGGCCCCAGTACTGGTCTATAAAATCTACTGAGGAAAGCAGTAGTTGACACCACGTATCCATTTAAAAAAAAAAAAAAAGCTGGTTAAGATGCGTCTCTAATCAGAGAAGCATTTTCACTCATTCTTTTACACAGATAGAACAATGTCTTTTGGAATAATTGAGATTAAATCCATGCCTTACACCTGTTGGGATGTTTGATGCTGTAGGTAGTTAAGATCCAAAGCCAATGGCTTCAAGCATGGGATGTAATACCAAATAGGAAAAGAAGTGGGTGCAATGAGAGTCTAGGCTGTCAGTGCACTTGTTCAGTGACATACCCAGAGACCCCAATTCTCCCGCACCTCAGTGTGTTAACTTGGCCCCCAAAATGCTGCCATGGGGCTAAGAGATGCACATAGACAACTTGCTCAGAAGCAGGGAAGGACGCCCAGCCCCTAGCAGAGCCCACTTTTATCCCACCAGCCAGAATTCCACTGCACAAGAGGATGCTGAGTCCAGGAGTGCGGTTAAATTGCCCAAAGCCCACAGCCAGGACTCCAGCCCTGCCCTGACCCCAAAGCTGCATCCTTGGGCATTCCATCCCTGAACTGTTGAGAGAGAGGGCCATCTGGCTTGTGGAAGGATACAGAGGAAATGGGTTTGATTGGAGACCCTGGCCTAAGGCCAGCTCTGGACAGAAGGAACAAAACCACCATGATAAGCTAAAGCCAGTAAACTCCACACCTCAAAGTCTCCTCCAAGAAGCAACATGAGAGCTCTCTTGGCAGAGAGGAGGCAGGGGGACAGGGAGGGAACCCTGCTGGCCAGCAGCTGACATTGCAAACTGCTGTTGTATTTGTGAGTCCTCATTGCACGTGTGAAACACTGACCTAAGACAGAGACCCGACTTAGAAGACGCCTGGAGTCTAATACCTCTCCTGCGTCTTTGGAAGAGAACAGGAGGTTGAAAGGAAAAAAGCTGTCCTGGTAAGAAAACTACGTGTTCACTCCCTTTGGGCAAAGGGTCTGATGTTTACACAGGGAAAGCGCAGCTTCCACATCTTGTACAGGACCCTGTACGATGGTCCTTTGGAAAGCTAGAGAGAATTCCTGCATGATTCTGTTCTTTTCTCAAAGGGTAAAGGTAACCACAGCGTTAAACCCATCTGTTGCTCATCTTCCAAGGCGGGGATGTGAGTTGTATTGGCTCAAGTGCACCTGTGACATTTCAGATGCTCTTGGGCCATTCTGTGACCCACACTTCTTGTTCTACCAAACTCCCACATGATGGAAGTAAATTACTCACGCGGATTAAATCCAGATCACTCACCACCTGCACTGGCACCATGCATTTGGGCTTCCTAACAAGGAAAGGATCTGACATCTCTTCCTCAAGGCACTCTGGCCTAAGAGCTGCCGTTCCTGTGGGGTCGCGGTGAAAGAGAACGCGATCAATACTTGAGCCCTGCATGGGCAGAAGGAAAACAAGTGCTGTGCTTCAAGAAGATGCTTGGGGGGGGGGGGGGGCTTTGGCTCGGTGTTCTGACATGTGTGCATGTGTAAGTGCCACACACATGCCAAGTGAAAGGAAGCATCGACCCAAGACGTTACAGCTCAGGCACCATGGATGTTCAGTGACCAACACGCGTCAGTGGCACTGTCCACAGAAGATCCAAGAAGCTGGGGAACTTCTGCAGCCATGTATTCTGTAGAATATGAGACTCACACCATCTTTTTATATGTGGTTTTCAATTGCCAACCAACCCAACGTAGAGAATCACGTTAAAATATTTTACAGCCTGCTAGGTTTCATGCAGTCCAACCATAAGACATCGCCAAACTATCTTCGTATGATGTAACTTCCTGAATGGAATTCCTTTCTTGTCCAGGGGAGGAGAGAGGGTGAATGAAGTGGTTGGGCTTCCCTGTTGCTGGGAATGACTCCAGTTTTTAGAAAGAAGATTCTTTCTCTTTCATGGTATGTAAGCTGTTCTAAAGAGAGCTGTGTGGAGTTAGTTCTCGCGGTGCCAACAGAGAGAATCCTGGCCAAGCATCCGAACTTCTGACCCACCAGGAATGACCGAGGTCAGCTCCTGGAGTTTATCTAAGGCTATAGGGAAGGGAGGTCAACATACCTCTGAGTCCACCAACTTCACAGGACAATAACCCTGTTTGGGGGGGTGGGGGCGCTTACTTAAGTCATGTGGTAGACAGTAGGCACTCGGTAAATACAAGCATTGGGGTTATAGTAGTGGCAAAGCATTGCACACACTGAGAAACAAAACTGCAATGAAGCTAGCTGGGTTTCTGCAGCTGTTGGCCATTTGAGTTTCTTCTCTGCGCTTAGCTACACCTACAGCCTTGATTATCATTTACTTAGCATCTGTGATGCACTTGTTAAAAAGAAAAAAAGCAAACAAATTAAACTATAAAAGGAGATGTCCTAACACTTCCATAAAAGGAAAAGTAGCATTACCTGTGACACACTGGAGAAACAGACACCATCAACACATAACAAGGTAATTAATTCCTAGTTAGCCAGTACTGCCCTGATAAAGGTTCTGAGCTTGGGGCTGGTCTTCTCCTTCACAGGCAAGATGAGCAAGTGATGAAACTATGTAAACTGTGCGCCAGTAGGAGCCAAGGCCTCCCTGCCGTGGGATTTATTATTTAATGCCAGATTTGTATGCCCACAAACTCACCCCATTCCTCCTAGGCGTTCTTTGGGAAACCTCAACATTGCACATTGCAGTTCTCTCTCTCTCTCTGACACCCCCACGTGCGTCTTCCTTATAGATGTGTACACGTGCAGTCACACCACATATCAGTGTTGGCAGTTTCTGCTCAATTATAATCCCATCTTCCCCTAACTTATGTCTCAACAGGTCAACGGCAAAGACTTATCCCGGGCAACTCATGACCAGGCCGTGGAAGCGTTCAAGACAGCCAAGGAGCCCATCGTGGTACAGGTATTGAGGCGAACACCAAGGACCAAGATGTTCACGCCTCCCTCCGAGTCGCAGCTGGTGGACACAGCCACGCAAACGGACATCACCTTCGAACACATCATGGCTCTCACCAAGATGTCCTCCCCGAGCCCACCCGTGCTGGATCCCTATCTCCTGCCAGAGGAGTAAGTAACCATGACCATGAGCTACTAGTGCATTAATAAGTACGGTGAAGTTGGCTTTTCCCTTTCCCTGCGGTGGAAAAAATTAATGTGTCTTATAATTTTCCTCCAAGTTGCCTGTGTTTAACTTTATTGTTTATAGAGGCAATAAATCGGATCCTGCTCAAAACCGCGCCGACATATTAATGACTTTATTATAACCCTGGAGCGGAGTTATTCAAATGATATTCCAAGAACAGAATTACTTACAAATGTTGTAAAAGTTGTTTCGGAATAAAATTTAATCACCGCAAATGGTAATTGGAAGGTTTCGTAGTTATTACTGCAGGGAATGCTGATTGTTCTTTTAAACAGACAACGGAGCGAGTAAAGAGGGCTCTGCACGTTGGGGATTCTGCTTTCCTTGGTTTCGTTGCAAACCGGGATCCCTGGACGAAGCCCGGACGTGCCTCGCGTCCGCACGGATGCAACACCCACGTCCATCTCCTCACACTTGAAGCTTCCTCTGGCTTCATTGCTGCTGCAGAGAGTGGTGCAGCACCTCAGAGTGAGAAAACCCTGATGCTCAAACCAATTTCGGGCTGTGGAATTTGGGCAACTACTTTATTTCCCCAGGCTTTATCCCCCCTGCCCGCATTACAGTGGCAATAAAAATAGTATCTGCCTTATAGGCTTGTTGAAGGATGAAATGAAATAATGCATGGAACGTTCTCAGCATAGCAGATGGTGAGCCCGCAATAAATGGTAGCAGCCGTCACTATCAATTCAGTGACTGATGGAAAACATTCGGGAGAAAATGCAAAGCGAGAACCTTCTCACATTGCTTTTTCCATGGGACCTTGAACTTCAGGGGACACAGCCTCTCTAGCTGATGCTAAGGTCACCTCCGTCTCTTCCCATCTTGATTCCAGCTGGGTGGGGATCATTGATTCGATGCATTATTTCCAAGGGTGTTTTTCACCTCTTGCAGACAAAACCTCAGCACGAAACCTGTTGGATGTCTCCTAGTAACTCAATAGCTGGAGTAAGCACTTGTTTCCTGTGGTTCTGTCAAATCCCAGACAAAGGCTTGTCTTTCAATCCCTGACTTTAGTGGTTGGCTGTCATTGGAACCCAGGGTGAATTCCCCAAGCTGGGCAAAAAGTAGGTTGCACTGTAGCTGACAGTATGTAAGGGCAGAAGACAGGCATCCCCCTGACATTGCCCCATGGGGTACAAGTGCTCACAGAACTGCTGGCACCTGTAGAGTATTTCTCATGCCTGGTCCTCCTGCACCAGTGAGGAATTGCAACCCCACCCCACTCTACTCTGCCTGAGCTAGCAGCACCCCAGGGGAAAGGCAGGTGTGTCGCCTTCGGCTCCCAGCTCTTAGCCACGACACTCTCTGGTGTCCCAGCTGGTCCCAAGGAACAAGTGACTGATGTGCTGAACCCACTCATCCAAATCAGTTATCTGACATCCCCCACCAAAACGGCCTCATGTTATTGATGAGGCCTGGAAGGCTACTCCTGGCTCTTAAATGTTGAACTGCCCGAGTGACAGGTCTTTCAGGAGCCAAACCCCTAATTTCCTCTTAAGTCTGGTTAACATGACATGACGTATCCCCCCGGGGTGACTTGAGAAATGTCAGAGGAGTCCAGAGGTCAGGCGTCCCCAGGATGTGGCCTCCAGGTCACACAGTGGCCAGAGCACGAATCGGAATTGAGTGGGGAGGGTTAAGTTGACGCTTGAGAGCCCAGTCCTTCCACCAGTATCCTCAGTACTAAAAGCCCCTTAAGTGCAGGCAGCGTATTGCCTGATGGGTCCCGCAAATTGAAAGCCAGCCCTTGTTTGAATGACCACTCAGGTCTGATCTGTTGTCTCAAAACTAAGTGCCTGGGAGGGACGACCAGAGCCCATTGATTGCTGGGCTGTCCTTTTGAGAAAGTGAGATTTGGGTCCCCAGCCAGCAGTCAGAGGCCAGAGCTTTCCATCGGCATCTAGCACCATGGACCCCCAGCTGCATTCAAAGCCGCTGACCAGGCGTGTTGTAACTCCCATTGCCTTTTTCCTAAAGATCCCATTCGGGACATTTCCAAAAGGTAGTGGGTTCTGTGAAGTGTGCTCTATGTGTGTTGTCCTAAAGGAACACACAGTGTCCAGCCTCCTGGCAGAATGAGTGTGTGTGCATATATGCACGCATACACACACATGCATGTATGCCCACAGGGAGGTACAAACACTGCAAACACGTGCGTGCATACTGGGGAGTGCAGCCCACGTTTCTTGCTGTGGGTACAGTCAGAAGATTCAGGAAGACAATGTCCTAGAAGATCACATCACACTTTGATTCATCACTGTTAGAACCAATCTCAGAGGCTGGCGTGTGTGTTTGAGTGTTGCCTGAAGTTGATCTTACATCCCTCCAGAGCTAAAACCTAACGCGGAAGCAGTACGTGGTAACACGGGCCTGTCTCCTGCCCAGAGACTGAGTTGGCAATGAGTCGCATTGCACAAATGACTAGCTGGCTAGGGGACAGACTCTGGGCTCAGAGAGCATTGCACCTCGCAGTGCCTTACCTCCCAGCTTACCCCCTTGCAGAGCAAACGGACTCCTGGGCAGGTAGTGGAACTCTGATGATGGAGGTCCTGACTGTGCCCAGATCCACATCCAAAGAGGAGTGGGCTAGGGAGGCCCATGCAAACCCTGCTGGGCCTGACAGAAGGGTAATAAAGTGAGATGCTTATCCTAGAAGTGGGGCCTTCAGGATCTTGCACTATTTTTTCAGGCATCCGTCCGCCCACGAGTACTATGATCCAAACGACTACATTGGGGACATCCACCAGGAGATGGACAGGGAGGAGCTGGAGCTGGAGGTAAGGAGAGCGCCCTGTCTCCCTTCGGGGGTCACTCTGGGGAAGCCAGCAGGCCTACTGAGCTCTTTCCTAGAGCACATTTCATTTGTGGGTGCTGCTGAAGACTATCAAAGGCAGCAGCACCTGTGACCGCGCCTGTAAAAGGCACAGCCAAGCTTTCCTTTCGCTTCCCCTTCAAAACAAAGCAAACAGGGTTTGGGTTTACATTATTTTTTATTTTTAATTTTAATCGCTTAAAAACCAAGATTCTCAACCTGGTTCTCACATAACCCATATATCCTTGTAAGGTAAGCCTCCTCCTCATCTAGCTTGTAAATTTTCTGAGAATTTATTTATTTGATTGATTTAACAGAGATCTCACATATACTGGTTTGCTTCCTCCAAACACCAGCAATGGCAGGGGCTGGGCCAGGCCAAAACCAGGAGCTCAGAGTTCAGTCTGGGGTCTCCCATGTCAGGGACGGGGTCCCAGCGACTTGACCTGTCACCTGTGTGGCATTAGCAAGAAGCTGGAATCAGGAGCAGAGGTGAGACTTCAGCCCAGACACCCCAGTTTGTGATGTGGGCATCCCAGCAGCGTCCTTAACCACTAGGCCAAGACTCACCCTAACTTCTATCTTTTAGGGCTTCACTTTTTTTTTAAGATTTACTTATTTTACTTGAGTTACACAGAGAGAGCAGGAGAGGCAGAGAGAGAGAGAGAGAGGGAGGTCTTCTGTCCGGTGCTTCACTCCCCAATTGGCCGCAATGGCCAGAGCTGTGCCCATCCAAAGCCAGGAGCCAGGAGCTTCTTCCGGGTCTCCCACGTGGGTGCAGGGGCCCAAGGACTTGGGCCATCTTTTACTGCTTTCCCAGGCCATAGCAGAGAGCGGGATAGGAAGTGAAGCAGCCGAGACTCAAACCAGCATCCATATGGGATGCCAGCACTGCAGGCAGCAGCTTTACCCGCTACGCCACAGCACTGGCCCCAGGACTTCACTTTTTTCTTGCTCAAAGGCAGATGCTGAAGAACAGGAGGACAAATTACTGGAGTGAACACCAGCCCTAACACAAAGCGGTGGCCCACTGCTTGCTCCAGGTTTTCTAATTCTTATCTTGAAGAGATGAATCAAATCCGTAACTCTCCTTACGCATTATTTGAGGCCAAAGAGGAATCAAGACTGTTGATGCCGTACAATTCAGACACTCCTCTGCTAAGTGTTAAAATACCTCGAGGACAGCAAGTTGCTAACAAGAGTTCTGTTTCTCATTTTCCTTTTAGTAAGAGTGACAGGAGGGTTCCCTTTCTGTTCTCTAGGATTCTCTCTCTAGAGTTGTCTCTGTTACTATCTCTGGGTGGCTCCTGCCCAGCCCTGGCTGATAACCATCCCAGCATTTCCCCTCTTCCAAGTTGAACACGCCCCTCACAAGGAGGCCTCTGTGGCCGTCCTATCCTGGGATTTCTAACAGGACACTCCTGCCTTGCGAGGGAAGAAGCGGAGTCTGACGTTGGCGTCAAGACCAGGCCCTCCAGCTGGGTCTCGTGCCTGCTTTCCGTGATAAGCTGCCCACCTGGACCGTTCACTCCTCACTTGTCCATCGGAGGCTCTGTGGCCTCTCCTTAACTATCCTCTAGGGTATCATTTAACTGGCACTGTTTCACTTGGCTTCAGGCATCGTTCTATAGGCACACTGCTGTTTGGTTCAGTGGGCTCTGGGGAGTACCTTGTCCTGAATTACAGTGTGTGTGGGCACAAAGGGTCCCAGGGAAGTGTTGGGGAGTGCATTGCTTGATCCAGAACTCTGTGCGTTCAGAAAACCTGTCCCTACCACTCACACACACGTGTTCTGGATTAGTGCTGCTCACCCCCATGTGTTCTAAATTACTGCTAGCGATGACTCACATCTGTATCCAATAGCAGGTGTGAAGTGTACTTCTATGGCCTTCCTAGATACTGAAAGATCCTCTGAGTTGTTTGCTCCTTAGATGTGGCAAAGCAGAACTCGTCACCTATTCATTACACCGGAGGCATGTATCAGTTCACAGAAGTTTTTTTCAGGTTTTCCTCACTGACAAAATAATTTAGAAAAAAAAAAGTGACAGAAAACAGAGAAAACACCAGCATCCATGATGGAGTTGTATTTTGGGGGAAACATGGTTTCCTGTTTCAGTGTGTTTCCAAGAGACATGGGAGCATTTCTGAAAGCTGACTTTATGGAGGACAGTAACAGGGTGCATTTTCAAAAGGTACCTGATGCTGACAGGTAAGCCTGTTGGCACCAACAGGAGGTCAGCCGAGGAAACCCACGAACATTTTATCCAATTTCATGGCCAGCTGCTGTGTAATCTGGGCTGCCCCACGGACGCTTCTGAAGGTGATGAGTTATTTAGTGGCGGTAGGGCCCGGTGCAGTGACAGAAGCAGCTGAATGGTAGAAAATCGCTGTGCTCCGAGAGCATTGCTTTCAAGTCGCCAAGAGCTCTCATTCCAAAAACCGAAGCTGGACATCAATAAAAGGAGTGCACACGGCAGCTTTGAACTGCTGCTCGCCGACTGCCAGATGGGCAAAGCAAAGCCGTTGTCACTAGAGACGCCACTGACTCCATGACATTGTTTTGAAAATGTTGAGTTCTCCTTAAATGCCTCTGGTCTAAACAGGACTGGCAATTACTCTAACTGTACAAAGCGTGGATGGCTTCTGCTGTCTGCCAACCAACGACCCACATGCTTGCCATCCAGTAACTGCTCCAGGAAAAGTAGCCTGTTCTTACTAATAAGGATTTTGCCTCTTACGTCTAGTGTCCTGGCGGCCCAGGTTCAAGGCTAGCTAGTGAAGCAGCTGACGACGCCTTCTGAACACCTGGGCTTTATGTCGTTCCTACATCTCCCTCCCCAAAGGGGAACCATGATCTGATCAGTACAATCGGGAAAGACCAAATGAAAGAAAGCTCAAGATGTTCTTAGAGGACTTTCAGAATCTGACGGCTTCACTAGCGCGGCGAATACCCTGGGCAAAGGGAACAGCCATGGGAGGCAGGACCTCCCAGACCTCTTTGTTCACACTCCCTCAGCCTGGAGTTGGAGAAATCCTGCTCTGCGGAAGGGAGTGCTAATTAATCATCTTTATGGGGCAATGCTGCTCGGTGATGATCATTATAATTGTGATGAAGTACGGCTCTTGGAAAAGCTGTCACATCTCTCAGAAGCTAGATTTAGGAAGTGGTGTAGACTTGGCAGTCGTTGGGACTTGCTAGCATGGGTTCTTCAGTTCTTTCGTTTAGTTTCCAAGACCTTTGAGGTGCTGATGAGAGCTGCGATCTCTTCATGCTTATAGGAGCTTCCACTGGGTTTCAGGAGATTGCCTGAGCCCCCCCAGCAGGGTCTGCCCACCCTGGGCCATCCGCCCCGCCTTGCATGCGAATCTCACCAGAACTGCTATTTACTTTCTATTTCCCTTTAACTCAGTGTCTTTAAACTAAGATAATTCTGTTTTTAAAGACACACTGGATAACTGCCTCACAAGGAAACTGAACATCAATATTGCCACAAATAGAAAGCCCCATACGACTGAATAGAGTGCACACAAGACAGTGTTACAAAGTCCCGGTGTTTGACACCAGGGAGCCTAGGCCACTACTGCCTGCTCTCGTCCTGTCTTTGCAAACAGATGGGCTCATATTAAAGATGTGCCCAGCCTCACCTAGAGTGAGCTTAGGAACTGCCTGGGGGTGGGGGCCTCTTGTCTTTGGCAGCAGCGAGCCCCTGAGACACAATTCCCTGGAACTTTAGTATTTGAAGAGCAGGAAGCCTGGCAGCAGCCCAGCGACACCTGAGAGGCACAGCAGCTGTAGACCTTAGCCCCCAGAGCCTCAAAGCCAGAGCCTTCACTTCCGCAGGGCCCCCTGGGCCTCGGTGCACACTGAGGTTGCAGGAGCTCTGACCTGGAGGCCGTGGGCCAAGATAAAGACACTGGAGCTCTGACATCCTCTCGTTCTCCTGAGTCACACCAGGGAGGCCTTGGTTGTGCGTTTCTTCCACTGCAGTAAAATATGTGTTCCATGCCAGTCCCTGTGTGGGCTGCTCCACTTCCGATCCAGCTCCCTGCTGATGGCCTGGGGAAAGCAGTGGAAGATGACCCAGGTGCTTGGGCCTCTGCACCCACGTGGGAGGCCTGGATGAGGTTTTCTGGCTCCTGACTTTGGCCTTGCCCAGCCCTGGCCATTGTGGCCATCTGGGGAGTGAACCAGTGGATGGAAGTGTGTTTCTCCCTCTCCCTTTCTCTCTCTCTCTCTCTGGCTCTAACTTTCAAATAAATAAATGAATTTTTTTTTAAATAAAAAGTGCCCCAAGTCATTAACATCATCCATTCAGTCCATGCAATTGCCATGGGCTAGAAAGAAATATGCCCTTGGAGACATGTTAGCCCGTGTTAATAGAGCAACTTCTGTCTTCTCACACATAAAATAAACAGAGACAAAGAGAATCAAAGGGGACCAAAGGAATATTTTCAGTTAGAACTTTGATTCTCTGCAACTTCACATCTATGCTTGTCTTTTCCTTTGTTTTTCTCTATTTTTTTATTATTTCTTTAAAGATTCATTTGTTTACTTGAAAGGCAGATTGACAGAGCGAGAGGGAGAGCCCCATCCGGGTCTCCCACATACTTGAGGCATCACGTGCTGCCTCCCATGCACATTAGCAGGAAGTAGCTCAGAAGCAGAGAGCGGCCAGGACTGAAATCAGGCCCTGAGCTGTGGGATGCAGACGTCCCAAGTAGCCGCTTACCCCGTTGTGCCCCAGTGCTGCCCCCGTGTTACGGTCTGCGTTCTGCATGAGCTGTGACATAGGCTCCATTGCATGACACATACTGCATGGCACTAGAAACGCACGGGCCGGAAGTCACCACCTGCCTGCCTGTCAGGGACTCACAAGCCCTCACGCATTGGACATGGGCTTGTTATTTCTTAGAAACACGGGATATGGATGGTCTCCATCTCCAGGCTGCCTTGAAAGAGGCTAT